GGAGGAGAAGGAGGAAGTAGGAAGGAGGAGGATGGGCGGAGGAGGAGGACGAGTAGGAGGCGGAGGAGGAAGAGATGAAGGAGGAGGAGGATGAGGAGGATGAGGTGGAGGAGGGCCACTGTAAACCCATGGCTCATCAACGATTTCGGAAGAAACCCTCCCTGCATGCTCCCTCTTCGTAGGCGTTTGCAAGGAGGAGGAGGAGGAGGAGGAGGAGGAGGAGGAGGAGGAGGAGGAGGAGCACGAGGAGCAGGAGGAGCAGGAGGAGCAGGAGGAGCAGGAGGAGGAGCAGGAGGAGCAGGAGGAGGAGGAGGAGGAGGAGGAGGAGAGGAGGAGGAGGAGGAGGAGCAGGAGGAGGAGGAGGAGGAGGAGGAGGAGGAGGAGGAGGAGGATTCGGCAAGCGGACGAGGACGAGGATGCGGATGCGGATGCTGAAGAGGAGCGACGGGGGAGGGGCGGGGGGAGGCGAAGGCTTGCTGGCATCTTGGCCGCCCTGGGTCTGACAGCGAGCCCGACGGCGGAGGGCATCCCGCAGTGCCACAGCCGGAGCATGCCCACGTGCGCCGCCTCGGAGTCGTGCCCCGGGATCCCGAGAGGCGGCGGACGTGGATTATCTGTCCGACCTCGCGGGCTGTCTTTGGCCACAGCGCTGCGGCGATCCTCGGCGGAGTGGGGGAGCCGTCCTGGGGCGGCACAGTCTGCCAACTGGGAGGCCGAGCCATCCCGTGGCGCACTCTGGGCCTCCTCGGGGGGATGTCTGGGCGGGTCTGGCGAGTCCGAGGGCTTCCTCGGGCGCCCAGGGGCCGCGGCGGTGGCCCGGTCGCGGTTCTTTGCGCCAGCCGCCAGGATCGAGCTCGCGGGCCTGTCCCTCGGCGCATGCCTGGGCATCTTCCTGGTCGCGGCCGCCATGTGCAAGCCGCTGCTCCATCCGACCCGCCCGCCCCGACCTCCCGTCCGTCTCCCCCGCCAGTCCTTCCAGGAGGGGGGTGGGGGCGAAAGGGGATGATTGGCCCATGGGGGGGTGGAATCATCGGCCCCCAATCGCTCACTCATCGCCGACTGGGGCCAGGATCCCCCACCCTGCCCAGGAACGTCCTGTTCCCCTATCGGGGTCCTACCCTTTCGGCGCCGTGTCTTCGATTCCATGCCGATGCTTCCCCTCTTGATGGCAGTCCCTCTTCTCCCCTCTGAAGGTTCCACTCGGAATTTTGAGTGCTTCCTCATTTTTGGAGTCTTCCAGGGGGCCCCCGTCGCCACCACCGAATCAGCCTCGGCGTCCTGGTCAGAGCGCGCTCCAAGGCAGGCTTTGGCGGCCGATTGAGGGACCTGCCTCCCGGTCTCGTCAGGCGATCACAAACATGGATCGAGGGTGCGTGGATTAGCGACGGACCTCCGCCGACGAACGAGGCGGCACCGGCCGCATTTTGGGGAGGGCACCTCCCCCGATCCATGGATTATAGGCGACCGCGCGCCAACGCCATGGATCGCTAATCCATTGTCTGCGCGCCCCCGATCCATGTTGTCCATGTGTGCCGCCGCCGCCGCCTCCTCCTCCTCCTCCTCCTCCTCCTCCTCCTCCTCCTCCTCCTCCTCCTCCTCCTCGCCTCCTAATCCATGTTGTCGGGCCGATGTCTGGGTCACTCCAAAGCACCTGCTGCGCCGTCTTCTCCCCAGGTGACCGTCGCCTTGGTGCGACTCGGTGGCGGGCCCTCCACCGGCGGGGTGGCCAGCTTTTCTCTCCGAGGGTGGGCGCGCTCCCTGGTTGGAGCAGTCTGCAAACCGCCATCCCCTCCTCCTAACACGTTCTCGCAACGACGACCACCAGTCCAATCGCCCTCCCCTCTCCTGCCGGGTTGCGAGAAGAGGAACGCAGGGAGCGTTGACAGCCGATCGGTGCAGTTGTGCGTGCCTGGTGAGTTTGCTATAATCATCGAAGTAGGAGCGAGACATGGCTCCTGCAGATTGGGGATGGCGGATTGACAAGCTCAATTGACAGAGGGAGGAGGGGTACTCAGGGGGATTGGATTAGTTTGTACAGCGAGTGCCTCTTACATCCCCTTTCTCTCCCTTCCTGCCCTCTCCTTATCCCTTTACCTTACACCGGTCGTCGCCTCGGCTCTCATCTTTTCTTTTCCTCGCATCCAAGCTGGTATCTTGTTTTCTCTACACACCTCCCGCACCACCACCACCACTACCATCATCATCATCATCATCATCATCATCATCATCATCATCATCGTCATCATCATCGTCATCATCACCACCACCATCAACATCACCATCATCATCATCATCACCATCATCATCATCATCATCACCATCATCATCATCGTCATCATCATCGTCATCATCATCACCACCATCATCATCATCACCACCATCATCATCATCATAATCATCATCATCACCACCATCATCATCATCATCATCATCATCATCATCATCATCATCATCACCATCATCCGTTGCAATTTTGGCTTAATTCGAAACACTAGTCCCTGGTGCTTCGAGCTTACTTGCAGCTGAGGGGGCTGTTCGAATCCTGGGCACAGCTGCTCTGCTCTGCGCTTGTCTTTCCGACCAGATCGGAACACCCGCTCGTTCTCAGCCACTGCTTCTGTTCTGCAGTGCAATGGCGCCGTTCTGGACAGAGAAAGCGATCGCATATCTGACGGCTCAGGTGGCTGCGTTGACCATCTCGATCACGAAGGTGACTGAGCAGGTCGCAGAGATTGCCGAGACTATGAAGGGGATGCAGGAAGGGTTGAATCAGCAGATGAAGAAGCTTGCAGAGACGGATGTGGTGTTGGCTGCTTTGAAATCGTTCACGAACAGCGGTGGCGTTAGCAGCAGCATCGGTCTCAACAGCGACGAGGGCAGTGAGGGCAACGTGGTGAAGAAGGCTAGGTTCGGTACTCGTGTTAGACTTGGCAATTAGGACTTGCTCTCCAAGGGGATTGTTGTGGGCTTTGATGATGAGTTCGCTCGTAAGGTCCTTGCTGGGGCGGGGACGGCAATTTTGGCAGCATGCGCTCGGGCTGAAACTCTGCAGCAGCTGAAGGTCGCCCCCCCCGAAACTTCTCGAAGAAACTGAGTCTTGCGTTGCCGTCGGGTGACGCAGCGTCTGAGACTATCGAGACGTTCCGCAAGAACTTCCCTGACGGTTTTGAGTTCACTCTCCCCACAGGCCCTCGCATTTTGCGTCTTAAGCCTTTCAGGGACGGTGAGGCTAACAAGCAGCTAGCCGTGATGGGAAAGATTCGTTCGGAGCTCGAGTCAGTCGCCAAGTCGACCCCGCAGCTCGCGGGCTGGTCGGTCGACTCCTCGGTCGGGAATGGCATCGTGTTCATCTCTATGGATTCTACGGGCGATGCGCTCAATCTGTACTGCGTTCAGAAGCCCTCGTCGGTGTTCGTACAGCCGCGTGTGATCGCCTTCGCCTGTCGCTTCAAGTAGATAGCTACCGAGAGCAAGCGGGATGATATTGTGTCCAAGGTACGGGAGCAGCTGAGTCTTTAGCTCGCCTTCTCCTCCAGAGTCTAGTGCCTCTGAGGAGGCTGGGTGGTCATCACAGGAGGTCGCCTCTCTTCTGTGCGCAAGCCGTTTCGACGAGGCCCCATATTATTTTTGGGAGCTCGGTGCGACGTCGTTTCTCCCCTTCGTTCCCGAGAACAATTCACCAGCACCTGCAGCATCATCATCATCCTCATCATCGCCGTCGTCGTCATCGTCATCGTCATCGTCATCACAATCACCACCACCGGCGTCGTCGCCGTTGCTATCATTAACATCGCCGTCACAATCACCATCATTTCCGTCGTTGTCGGCGTCGTCATTGTCATCATCACCACCACCATAATTATCATCACCACCACCGTCATCATCATAATCGTCATCATGATCATCATCGCGGTTACCATCGTCATCATCACCATCGTCATCGTTATCGCTACCATCATCGCCACCGCCATCTTCCACGTCATCATCATCATCGTCATCATCAACATCAACATCACCACTACCACCATTACTATCACCATCACCATCAGCATCACCACCATTCTCATCATGATCAGCATCGTCATCATCGTCATCGTCGTCGTCGGCGTCGTCGGTGTCGTCGTCGTCGTTGTCACCATCACTGCCATCATCACCGCCACCTCCATCTGCACCTTCATCACCATCATCATACTTGTCATCGCTATCGTCGTCATCATTACTATCATCGCTACCATCATGGTCATCACCATCGCCATCATCAGCGTCGTCATCATCACCATCAACGGCGCCACCGCCACCACCACCATCATCATCATCGTTATCATCATCATCATCATCATCATCATCATCATCTTTAGCATCTCCAATGCCATCAGCAACATCATCGTTATCATCGCCATCGTCATCGTCCTCTTCTCTTTCTCCGTTATCGCCATCGCCGTCTTCATTATCAACACCAGCACTATCACCATCACCACCACCATCACCACCACCGCCATCGTCCTCATCATCACCACCATCATCATCACCATCACCATCGCAACCACCATCACCATCGCCATCACCATCACCATCGCCATCCTTGTCATCATCCTCATCATCATCATCATATTGACCATCACGATCTATAGTCATCATCGCCGTCATCACTACCATCATCGTGATCAGTGCCACCAGTACCGTCATCATCACCCTCACCATTTGCATTTTCATCATCATCATACTTGTCATTCCCATCATCGTTCTTCTCCTCATCACCGTCGTCGTCATCATCACCATCGGCATCATCATCACTATCGTCACCACCAGCACCAACACCACCATCATCATTCTTACCACTCATCGTCGCCATCATTATCATTACCAGCATTGTCATTCGCAGCATCACAAATCTCAGCAACATTACCATCATCACCATCGCCATCACCATCATCATCACCACCATCATCATCGTCATCATCCCCATACTCATCAGCACCATGTCATCATCGCCAGTATCACCCGTTGTATCAGCACTATCGCCGCCATCATCGTCGTGATCGCTGCACAACCACACACCCACTCCCTCGCACAGCCCTCGCTCATTTACACACTCACCCAACCACACACACTCACTCACCATGAGGGGGTCTCGAGCGGGTCCTCGTCTGTGAGTGAATTGCGAAGCAGTCTCGAGCGGCAGCGCCCTCCTTATCGGCGTCCACATGTTTTGGCCTACTGCCGTTCTCCCCCTCCTCTCTTTGCAGGGCCCACACCAATCCCAATGGCGGGCACATGTACGCCACGAAGGATCGTCCGCCCGTTCAGGTTTGCCCGCCTGTTTAAGCCCGCCGCCCCCCGCAAAGAGACAGAATTTCCCAAAGGGGGTGTGATCGAAGACAAAAAGGGCGGGTATGGAGGGTGTTGGAAACTCGTTTTGAACGACACACGGGCAAGTAAGAGCGAACAGTCTTATAATGATTGTTGTTGATTTTGTCGTTGAGTGGTAGTTTCTAAACAACTAGTACTGCTTGACCCCTCCAGGCGCTCTGGCGCTCTCGCTTCGGCGCCTGCTGCAATTTCATTGAAAATGAGGCTCACGCTCGGGCGGCTTGGGGGGGCGCCAAAACGGCCCCCCCAACAACAACAATTCTCCCGTTCGAGATTTTTTAAATGTTTTCATTTGGAGCTGGTGATCTTGCTTGCCGCCGGAAGCCGCCGCCCCAACAAAACCAATGCTCCCGCTCGAGACCTCTTCCCGTTTTGCCTTGGATTTGTGCGCTACTCTTTCTCTCATTGGCGCCGCCCCCATCAAGAACAACGCTCCCGGTCGAAATTTCTTCTTTTTTTATTCAGAGTTGGTGCACTTGCTCGCCACCGAAAACCGCCGCCCCAACAAAACCAGCGCTCCCGCTCAAGATTTCTTCCCGTTTTACGCTGGAGTGGCGCCCGACTTTCTTTTGAATTGGCGCCGCCCCAAGCAAGAACAACGCTCCCGCTCGAGGGTTCCTCCTTTTTTCCCGAGGACGGTGCTGTTCCTCGCCGCCGACAGCCCCCGTCCCGACAAAACTGCGGCTCCCGCTCGAGACTTCTTCCCTTGTTACTCGAGACGGTGTTCCTCCTCGCCGCCGACAGCCGCCATCCCAACAGAACCAGCGCTCCCGCTCGAGACTTCGTTTTGTTTTACGCTGGACTAGTGCCCTACCCTCTTCTGCATTGGCGCCGCTCCCAGCAACAACAGCACCCCTGCTCGAGACTTCCTCCCTTTCTATTCAGTGCCAGGTCCTTGCCTCGCCGTCGACGGCCCCCATACCCACCAAACCAATCCTGTTGCTCGATACTTCCTTGTACTTTTACCCTTGGCTGTGGCTCCACTGGCGGTCTCGTATCGGCGCAGCAAGGCGCGGGTATGTGTTTTCGAGGTGGGATATGTTGAAATCCCTCGGAGGATGTGTTTGCAAGACCTCATTGGGTGGGAGATCTTGGAATGGTAACAACGGACTCCCGCGATAGAACAATAATCCCCCATGATGGGGATGGTTATCATGATGGCCGCATGCTGCGTGTGGAAGCATCGCGCATGAGGGTAACATGTTTGTTGCTGTTGTTGTTTGTTTGTTTGTTTGTTTGTTTGTTTGTTTGTTTGTTTGTTGTTGTTGTTGTTGTTGTTGTTGTTGTTGTTGTTGTTGTTGTTGTTGTTGTTTTTGTTTGTTCGTTTTTTGAATGTGTCATGTAATCGCAGTGGGTCATCAGCCTACTAGCAGTAATAGCACTTGAGCGCTCCAAGGGGGCAATTCGTGAGGATCATTCGAGCGGGGGCCTCGTCTGTGAGGGAGTAGTCAGTAAGTCTCGGGAGGGAGCCTTCTCTCCATGGTTCCCCCGCTTCATGTTAGTAATTCCAGGCTGTCATCAGCGTACTGCAGCAGGCATATCACCTGGGCACACCCCAAGGGGGCGACTCGTGAAATGGTCTCGTGTGTGAGTGGCGTGCGAGGATGTGTCGTGCGGGGGCCTCGCAAGTCCCGCACAACCCACAGGGCGCACAGATTGCACACGTCCCGCAGGTCCCGCAGGCCGAGCACATCCAACGGCTTCACAAGTCGCACAGGTCCCACTCGCCTCACGGCTCTCACAGGTCTCACAGACCGCACACGTCGTACAGGTCGCACTGGCCCCTTAGGTCCCACAGGGCCGAGAGGTCCCACACGCCGCACAAGCCCCGCAGGTGGCACGTGTCCCGCAGATTCGACGGGCCCCACAGGACTTAAACCCCTCGCAGCTCCTACACGTTTCAGGGCCCCCTCAGGTCCCACACGTCCCTCGGGGCCTGCAGGTGCCACAGGCCTCACGGGTCTCACAGGCCCCACGGGTCCAGCCCACAAGCCCCACGGGGCCCCACAAATTCCACAGGCCCCACGGGCCCCACACAACGTTCCCAGGCTCCCGCGGGCCTTGCACGCCCCACAGGCCGCGCACAGGCACCCGCAGGCTCCACGGGCCACAGGTCCGACAGGTTCTCGACGTCTCCCAGCGGGCCCCCACGGGGCCCGCACGGGTCCCACGGGTTCACCACGCCCCGCAGGGCCCGCAAGGCCCACGCGTCTCTTAGTCCCCACCGGCTCCACAGGTCCAAGCTCCGCAGGTTGCACAGGTCCGATGTGCCCCACAGGTCTCAAAGCTCCTACAGGTCGCATCCGAGTGTCCGGGCATCCTGGCATCATCGCCGTTGTCAGTCGTTGATCAGGAAGCGTCCCACGACCACTAAGGAGATCATCATGTGGAGTCCTTCCGTCTAAGTAGTTTGCTAATCGAGGACCTTCTCCAGCCCGATTGCTCCATCCCTCCCTACATCCCTCGCTCGCTCCGTCCTTCAGTGTAATATGTATACCCCTATCCCCCCGTCGTCGTCGTCGTCGTCGTCGTCGTCGTCGTCGTCGTCGTCGTCGTCGTCGTCGTCGTCGTCGTCGTGGGCGTCGTTGTCGTCGTCGTCGTCGTCGTCGTCGTCGTCGTCACTTCGTCGTCCGTCGTCGTCATCGTCGTCGTTTCGTTTTTAGTCGTCGTCGTCGTTGTTGTCATTCGTCGTCGTCCGTCGTCGTGCGTTGGCGTCCTTCGTCGTCGGTCGTCGGTCGTCGGTCGTCGGTCGTCGTCGTCGTCGTCGTCGTCGTCGTCGTCGTCGTCGTCGTCGTCGTCGTCGTCGTCGTCGTCGTCGTCGTCGTCTTCCATCGTCGTCGTCGTTGTTTTTCGTCGTCGCCCGTCTTTGCCGTCGTCCGTCGTCGTCGTCGTCCGTCGTCGCCCTCCGTCGTCGTCGTCGTCGTCGTCGTCGTCGTCGTCGTCGTCGTCGTCGTCGTCGTCGTCCGTCGTCTTCCGTCGTCGTTCGTCATCTTCCGTCGTCTTTTGTCGTCGCCTGTCTTCGCCCGTCGTCGTCCGTCGTCGTCATGCGTCGTCCGTCGTCGCCCGTCGTCGCCTGTCGTCGTCCGTCGTCGTCCGTCGTCGTGCGTTGGCGTCCTTCGTCGTCGGTCGTCGGTCGTCGTCGTCGTCGTCGTCGTCCTCGTCGTCGTCGTCGTCGTTCGTCGTCGTCGCAATTTCGTCGGCCGTCGTCGTCATCGTCGTCGTCGTCGTCGTCGTTGTTGTTTCGTTTTTCGTCGTCGTCGTCGTTGTTGTCATTCGTCGTCGTCCGTCGTTGTCTTTCGTGGTCATCGTCGTTTTTGTGTCCTCCTCCTCATCCTTGTCCCTCTTTCCTCATTCTCTTCCTCCTCATCTCCCTCCTCCTCCTCCTGCTCCTCCTCCTCCTCCATCTCCTCCTCCTGCCCTCCCCCCCTTTTTTCGACGTTGCTCGGACATGAATACTGTCTCTATTGCGTCCACCTCGAGCCAAAATGGCTACGGAGCCTTCCCCCTCCTCCTCCTCCTCCTCCTCCTCCTCCTCCTCCTACTCCGAGTTTGGACTCAGGCTTCCAAAGCTGGCCGCCTTTCAGGAGGTGCGGTTTGGCCACGCCTCCCAGTCCTGAAAATACGAGGTACGGCTGGAGGCTTCTCGCATTCCTCGGCCCCATGGGGGCCTTGTTGGGCTCCTGGTCTGGCATAAAACGATTCGCGGCGAAACAGCACAATCCACCACAAGCAGCACAGCAGGTGCCCCAACACGCTGACCGTAGCCATATTGGCTTGAGCCGCCAACCGGCGGGCAGCCCTCCCTTTTTTTGCGCGGGAGAGCGTGAATGGCCCTTGTGTGTGTGATGGGAGATTTTTCTGCAGTGGAATTAGAGAAGATGGTTCTATTGGATGGCATGGGTGATGCATGCCGAATGCCCCGCCGTACAGCCGCTGAACGTCGAGCGCGGCCGAAGTGGGCCAACGAGAGCGCGCACAGGGCGATCAGGAAGCATCCAGACGAACTGCAGCGCTCCCGTTCCCAGCTCAAGAAGATGCAGGCCTCCCTCCCAGAGTTCTTCGGCAACGGCGAGCTCTGGGACAGGCCCCTTGCGATTGTCCCGGCCTCGCCCTTCTGGCCGAGCAGGCCCCATAGCACCTGGACGTGCTGAGGCGGAACGTAGCGCTTCATGCCAGTGGAGGCTGTGGCTTCCGCTTCTCCTCAGCATCCGCTGAACAATTGCGAAGTGCACAGCGTGGACCGCATTTTTAGCGGCCCCATCGCGATTAAATCCAGATGCTTCAGTATTTGTTCCTGGTGGCGGGCTTGATGGAGTAAGCACGGGAGAAAATATCGTGCGGCCTTGCGTTCCCAGTTTTCTTCTCTAGGTGTCTGGGAAGTTCTGGAGGAGCCTGCAGCTGCCGTCAACGCCAGGGATACCCCCGCGACGCACCAGTTGAATCCAGCAGTCCTTCACAATTTAAATTTGTGATCCTAGCATGGGCGATCATGGCCCTCTCCTGGAGCAGCCGCGCCCTGAGGCCTGGAGGCGCCTCTATGTGGTGCGGACGTTTAAATGCATTCTCGACTTTTTGTGCGTCGGCGTGATCGGCTTGATGTTGAAGGTTCTGAGCAGCCGCATCCTGAGGCCGGGAGTCTCCTATGTGCGGTGCCACTGCGGAAAGTGTAGTCCCAACTTTTCGTGCGTCGTCGTGATCCTCTTGGTCGTCTTGATCATCAATCACGTCCTGGATGTGATCCTGTTGGGTCTTCTTCTGTCTCCGATCGCGCCCCTCCTTGTCAACGGTGTGTTGTGCTTGGGGTTCTCGCCAGCGCGAGGCGGGCTATCAAGTGTCGCCATTGTCGCAGGAAGGCTCACTGGGACTCTTGGGCGGCGTTTGTTTTTACCGGTGCTTCTAGGCCTTATCGTTGTGGGGATATGATATGCTAGGCTGCAAAGCTTGCAGCTTGTTTCTGTTTAGTGCCCTTGCGTGGTTTTCTGGCCTCGGTTCTGCTCGGTCCGTCCCTCCGCCTCTCGTGTCTGCTCTGTCCCTCGCTGCGTTTCGGTTTCGGGCCCTCGCCGGTCCCCTCGTCGCTCTGCGACCGCTTCGAGATTAGCGCTTGATTCTAACCCACGTCCAAAGCAAAGGCCCCAACACACTGAGACGACGGGTTCACTGCAGCACGAACCGATCCAGGAGCGACCGCCAGACCTGCACCGTTGCACTGGTGCCGGGAATCTCTGCGAAGCGCTCGCGTTCACCCGTGGAGGGCCACCACCTTGTACGCCTGGTCCGCACTTCGTGGCTATAGCGGCAGCCCGGCTCGGACCTCAAGAGGCGCCAGGAGTTGCCACCAGGAGAGGCCTGTATGCCAGTGGACGAGCTCGAACACGTGCGGAAAGCATGCAGTAAAGGAGGGTTTGGCAAGGTTGCGCCTATCGTGGCTATCTCATTCTGTTGGGCCGCGCGCGAACACCACGATCCCACAGGTTTGCAGTTCAATCAGGTGGTAGACGAAATCGGGTGCAGGAGGTATTCAACATCGAATTGCGATTTCAGGGGGTTCACAAAAGTGGGCGCGTTTGGGAGTGGCCCTCGCTGCCGCAGGGCGACCACGTGCTCTAAGAGTTCAGGAACTTTTCTGAAACGCCCGCGGCGCCCAGTACACCCGCCAGACTCGCGAGTTCACCGATACTTCCGACTCCACTTCCCCTTTCTCTTTCTCCTCGTCATTGTTCTTCCCCCCCTCTTCCCTCCCCACCTTCTCCCCCCCTCTGCATCTCCCTGCTCCTTCTTCTCCCCTCCTCACTCCTTTATCTGTCATCCCTGCTCGGCAGTGGGCAGGCCTCATCCGCTTCCATTTGGAACATTCACGGCAGGTCGTCGTCGTCGTCGTCGTCGTCGTCGTTGTCTTCGTCGTCGTCGTCGTCCTCGTCGTCGTCGTCGTCGTTGTCTTCCTCCCGTTCTAGTTGGGCTAGTCAGATTCGCCATATCCTGTGCCCGAGTTCCGAGTGTGGTCGCCATGGCTGGATGTCGAGATATATAGGATGCTCGTGGCAAGAAAATGGAGTGAGAAGTCGATGGGAAGCTGTTTGGGGTCAGAGACTCATAATTCATCTTTGATTTGTTAGTTGTGTACTTGTTTGCAGAACGAACCTCGTCGACAATGTTTTGACTCAGGGGCTTGCTCTGTCGTTCAATGCCCCGCTGCCCAAAAAACTCCCACTACGAAACAGTAAAGCCCACCCCAGAATTCTCCCCATGTTAAACCGATAGGGCCCATCCCATAACTTCCCCAGAGTGTCCCACGACTCATCGCAAAACTCTCAGAAGAACCATCGCCTTTTCCTCCGATTCCTCTTCTTTCCCGTCTCCAGATATAATTTCCAGGCCCTTAATGGGGCGCGTGCGGACAATTGAAAAGAACAACTATTGATGCTCAAAAACCGAGTGAGGAACCACCACCAAAGGCAATCTTTTTGCGAAAGTGCGCAGATCCAGGGCATGTCCTCCTGCTTTGCTCTATGCCGCCGATCCCAAAGACTTCTCCGGGGAGGGAGGGGCGAGGAAGGGAAAGAGCCAGGGAGGGAGACGTCGTGCGCGGAGGCACTGAGTCGAAGTCCACTTTGTTTGTCTGGGCTCGTGTGTCAGGAGGGGAAAAACACAGACACAATTAACCGGCGATTCCGAGAAAATATGGGAAAATATGGGAAGTGGGGGGGAAGACAAAAACCCAGAAAATATGGGAAAATATGGGGGATATTTTATTTGTGTGTATTTATTAGTGTGTCCCAGTTCCCCTTCAGTGTGGCAGGGGCGAGGGCGAAGGGCAAGGTGGCTCACCACCGAGCCCCTGCCGCAGCCTTTATGCCGCACCGCGCGGCGTCGTGTGCCCGGCGGGAGGCACGCCGCCACGTCGTGGCAGCCTCTCTCGAAGAAGAAGCAGCAGCATTATGTCGGGGGCGGAAAAGAGGGGGGTGATGACTAGGGGGGGGTGGACATCATGGCGTGGGCCATGATATCTCCCCAGATCTCATGGCGCCTCTTCTTGTTTCATCACGTCCCTGGCCCCCCCGCTGGTCCGCGCACATGCCCACGGTCACGATTTGCACCCCTCCCTCATGGACACCCCCCTCTTGGCCGCTCCCGAATTATGTCGGGCGTGTGCCCCTACAGGGGGATTTTCGACGAAAGATAAAAGATACCCCCCAAATACCCCAAGAAGATCAAACAATACTCCAAACATAGTCCACAGACTATTGTCGGGGGCGGAAAAGAGGGGGGTGATGACTAGGGGGGGGTGGATATCACGGCGTGAGCCACGATATCTCCCCAGATTTCATGGCGCCTCTTCTCATTTCATCACGTCCCTGGCCCCCCCGCTGGTCCGCGCACATGCCCACGGTCATGATTTGCACCCCCCCCTCTTGGACACCCCCCTCTTGGCCGCTCCCGAATTATGTCGGGCGTGTGCCCCTACAGGGGGATTTTCGACGACAAATAAAAGATACCCCCCAAGTACCCCAAGAAGGTCAAAAAATACCCCAAACATAGTCCACAGACTATTGTTAGACTACTTTTGGATTATTTTTGGGGTATTTATCATTTTTCGTCGAAAATCCCCCTGTAGGGGGACAGGCCCGACTTAAAAGCAGCATCGGCCTGACAGTAAACATTTGGAGGCACGCGCGACAATCTTGGATTGGCACTGGAAACTTTGGCGGCGCCTCCGGCGCCACCCTCTGCACCACCCTCCCCGGGGTGTGGGGCGCGTCAGGAGCGGTGCCGGAGGCGTTGCCAGGGGGTGGGGGGCAGCACCGAACCAAGAGATCTGCGCGGACCTCACAGAGTTTCATGCTGCTCCATCGTCTTCTTCTTTGTGTTCTTCTTCTTCTTCTTCTTCTTCTTCTTCTTCTTCTTCTTTCAGGAGGGGAAGAACACAGGCACAATTAATCGTCGACTCCCAAGAAAGTATGGGAAAATGTGGGAAGCGGGGGGAAAGACAGACACCCCGAAAATGTGGTAACATAGGGGGAATTTTTGGATTCGCGTCTATTTATTTGTGTGCCCCTGGGCCCCTATCTTCTTCTTCATCATCTAGAGCTGCGCCCACGGCAGGTCCTCGCTTTCCGCCGCTCCGAGCCGCCTAGATGGGCCCAGAGCTGATGTGGAGTCGGAGGGTCGTGCGGCACATCGCCGAGGCATCGGCGATGCGGCGCGATCCTCCGACCCCGTCTGGGCGGCGTTCCTCTCGCTCCCCCCTCCCCCCCTCTTCCTGCTCCTCCGTCTCCTCCTCCTCCTCTTCCTCCTCCTCCTCCTCCTCCTCCTCCTCCTCCTCTCCCTCCTCTTCCTCCTCTCCTCTCCCTCCTCTTCCTCCTCTCCTCTCTCTCCTCCTCCTCCTCCTCCTCTTCCTCCTCCTCCCCTCCTCCTTCCTCTCCTCCTCCTCCTCCTCCCCTCCTCCTCTCCCTCCTCCCCCTCCTCCTCCTCCTCCTCCTCCTCCTCTCCTCCTCCTCCTCCTCCTCCTCCTCCTCCCTCTCTCTTCCTCCTCCTCCTCTTCCTCCTCCTCCTCCTCCTCCTCCTCCTCCTCCTTCTCCTCCTCCTCCAGCCCCACTTGGTAGGCGTCTGTCCTCCCCTGCCGCCGCGCGGGACGGGGATGCCGCGGCGGGGCGCAGGCCGTGGGCCCGCGTGGCCGACGCGGTGCTCACGTCGCACCAGGACCTGTGGCACGGTTCCGCCAGGGTCAAGGAGCCGCGCGCATTTTTGGGAGGAGGATCGAGGAGGAGGACCCAGGAGGAGGACCTAGGAGGAGGACCTAGGAGGAGGATGGAGGAGGATGGAGGAGCATGGAGGAGGAGGGGGAGGAGCGGGGGCGGACGAGGAGGAGGATTCTATGCTGGATCGTGCTGCTTGCGACTCCCATGGATGGACAACACCGCGAGAGCCTGCTTGCTCGCTGTGAGGTGTTTCTCACCATGGGAGCATCCGTTGTTGGGCGTCGGCCTTCCCACAAACGCGACAGTCTACCTTTGGACGTCCTAGCTAGGGTTTCCTTACAGGGGCCTTGACCATATCCTCCTACTTACACTTCGCGTAGGAAACACAACGCCTGCATCATACAACATTGGACCGGCACAAACTTGAGTCCCAGCATCTGTGCCTTCCGAAGTCGATCCTGGTGATCCTGTCCGAACTCAACATCTTCAGGTCTCGTCAGTTCGCACGGAGTCGGAGGGGTACTGTGCCGCCCATGTATGGGAGAGGGGACATCAGATGCCGAGTCTGGATCGACTCGGCGGCCATACTCGGGGAACTACTCGTGATCTACGCACGCTGTTCCACGTTGCTAGTCGTATCGGCGTCATCTGACGACATGGCTGCCAACAACCATTGCACACACCAAGGTAAGAGGGCGTCACCCCCTCGGCTACACATCACAAACTATCATGCCAGCTGCACGAAACAAGCATACCAATTATCACCGCGATGCAAACACTGCAACGATTATACTCTCTCATCGACCCATCGCCACCGCGACGAGGATGGCGCACAACGAGATTGGCCACCACGAGATGGCGCTATCAGATGTGGCCTTCTTCGGGGACCCATTGCCGCAGCTCGCGAACGCCATAGAGGCCGACCGCCCGAAGTTTCTGGACATCAACGCGCAAACCATCGTCGACGGTATTGCGTGGAACGGCCCCAAGAAGAAAGAGAGGCAGGCACTGCGAGGACTGCTAACCTTTGGAGTGAGCCCCCCACAGAGAACACCGGCCAGCAGGCAGATGCCGAGTTGGACCATTTCGCCGTCGCGGAACACTCATCTTCAAGAGCCTACAAATATTCGCAAGTACAACGAGCAGGGCATGGAGGCTGTCAGCATCAGGACCATATGGACACTCCCATCGGCAATCGCTGCCAGGGGTGACTGGAAACATGTCGTGACCACGGCTGAGAAGGGTCGACAGGGGCGACTTGGCTGCATTCTCGAAAGGGCCAGAGGAGATCACCAGGTCGTTCCACCCGCCCATCACCAGAGCCCGGCTCGCCACAGTGGAGCCCCTACCCCACAAGGGGGTGGAGGCGTCAAGCATCCTATTCTAACGCCGACAGCGCCAAGCCGGAAATCGCAGCGCGAAGGATCATGCCCCTCAGCAGGGCTGCCGCCGAGCGCCACCACGGGCTCTTGCGGGGCAGGTGCAGGGCGATCGCGGCGGACCGACTGGTGGGGGCGCCCGGGCAGGAGCAGGGCCGCGCCGCAGTGCTGATGCTGCTGCGCGCGCCGCGAGCACTTACCTCAGTCAGTTGAAGAATGATGGACGCACAGCGGTACGGCTGGCTACTCCTTGGCCCAAAGGGCGTTTTTTTTTTTTTTTTTTTTTTTTTTTTTTTTTTTTTTTTTGTTTCTTTTTGTTTCTCTCCCCATATACTATATATACAATTAGATATGTATAGATACATATATATATATAACCAGTTCGGTCTGGCAGATGGTGTACAAGACCAACAGCGAGACGGGCGACGTCTGTGAGCTCATGGTGACCGTCGAACACTCTGCCGATCTTCCCACCAGTATCCGACTGCGATGCGGAAGACGATCACCGCTGCGCAGTTAAGAGAGAAAGAGAGAGAGATAGAGAGAGAGACCCCCATGCCGACATGTGGACCCTTTTCAAAGGGTCCAAGGCACTCGCACAACCCACGGCGGGAACCAGACCTGGAGTCCCTGCGCCGCCCGATCTAGCCTTCAGCTACACTTCCTCCCAGGTCACCAAGGTGATCGCAGAGGGCGCCATCGAGGAGAGCCTGGCTTGCGAGATCCCCAGCCTCAGAGATGGACAACTCGCGCTCACGCAGTAGGGATGCTCCGCGTGCCGGCAGGACGGCGAGAGGCTGCTCACAGGCGCATCAATCGTGGGTGACCTCGCGGCATGCGCTGTCACCGACCCTGGGCACGCTCACGACGCAGACGTGTCATTGCTGTATATCATCGCCACTTGGGCGACGGCCATCGGCATGAAGGTAGACGCCGAACATGCCAATATCATGGCCAGCTTCAACTATGTATTGGCGTACTTTCTCGAGCTCGAGACCAAATGCGATCGCATTTTGGCACGCACGCAATCTCTGACAGCCTGTAGTACAGACCGGCGAGAAATGAATGATTTCGGAGGCATTGCTGAAGAATCTAAGGATGTACTTGAATTTTGCAAGCTGACAGACAGGAGCTGGCCAGAACATCACAAAACAGTTCTCGGACATGTGCAGAAATAGACGACAGCTGGGATGGTATGATATTCATTACTTTAGCGCAAACCACGAGTGCGTGGACATACTGACCAGCTCGTTGCTGCAGCCCAGAGCGTATGAGGCTGCAAAGGTCAGTTGCACATTGTCACCTGGATTCAAGCAGCAAGTGGCCCTCAAATACGATTCCCTGGAGTTTGTGGACAAGCGTATGTCTTTCTCTCTCCCTACATATATATATATATATATATCTTCTGCATACTGCGTAGTCAGACATAAATGCAAGCATTAATTGGTCAATGAAGACGATAACGTGAATCACAATTTCGAGCCAGCCAAATATTCACAATCGTCGTTAATTCATGTAAACGCAAGGGCATCCTCATTCGTTTCATGGTACGCCTCCTGAAGAGCGCATGCCTTCAGTTGATGAGTGCACCTCGCGTTCTTTCGCTCCTCCCACTCTTCCGCCTGTCTGTACGCATTCGGACACGTATGCGCTGGCGTTTGGCTGGCGTCTTCCAGGAGTGCAGGTTCCAGGAGTGCAGGTCTTTCGCCGAATTGCACTGGTTCTTGCTTCTCGTCGTCGTCGTCGTCGTCGTCGTCGTCGTCGTCGTAGTCGTCGTCGTCGTCGTCGTTGTCGTCGTCGTCGTCGTCGTCCTTCCCCCCTCCTCCGCGAGCTTCACGCTCATGAGTCACGCAGGGATCCAACGCGCACCCCGGGCTCCAGCCCAACCGCCGTGCTCTCACGCGGCCGTCCTTCTGGACGTACGCCGGCGCCTCGCCTCGCCTCGCCTCGCCTCGCCTCGCCTCGCCTCCTCCTCCTCCTCCTCTTCCTCCTCCTCCCCCTTTTCCTCTGGCGCCGCCCTCCCGTCCACCCTCTTCACCTTCCTCTCCTCCTCTCTCCTGCGTCCTCCGTCCTCAGTCTTCACTTCTTGCCCTCCTCGTCCTCGCCGTCGTCGTCGTCGTCGTCCTCCTCCTCCTCCTCCTTCTCCTCGTTCTCCTTTTCCTCTTTTCTGGGAGGCCGCCTGGCAGCCCCCGGAGCTCCCGTTTGCCGCATGCCGAGGAGCTCGCGGTTGCGAACGTTGGCACCGTCGTGACGCCGTGGATGCTGTTTTTCCAGGGCGCCCCCCCCCCTCTCGCCCTCGTCCTCGTCCTCGTCCTCGTCGTCGTCGTCGTCGTCGTCGTCGTCGTCGTCATCGTTGTCGTCGTCGTCGTCGTTCTCGTCCTCGTTCTCGTCGTCGTCGTCGTCGTTCTCGTCGTCGTCGGAGGAGGAGGAGGAGAAGGAGGAGAAGGGGGGAAGGGGATGAGGAGGAGGACTCGATTAGATGGCTTTGCGGCGCCCGGCTCCGTCAGTGGGCCCAGTATCCTGACGTTACCACCCTGGGAAGCACGGTGGCCGCAAGCGTCCATCGTGGTAGGGTGAGGATGCCCGGGAGTCCCTCGTCGCGGTGGCCAGGTTCGACTCGCAATCCTGGTCGGGGCGCGCCCCAGGAGAGGTCGGAGGGACGGCCCCAAACCTTTCCTCCTCCCGCTTCCTCCTTCTGCTCCTCCTCCTCCTCCTCTTCCTTCTCCTCCTCCCTCTTCCTCCTCGACGCCCCCTCCTCCCACTTCCTCTTCCTCGACGCCTTCTCCTCCTCCTCCTCCTCCTCCTCGACGGAGGCGAGAGTACCAGGCCTTTCGTTCCCAAGTGAGTCAACTCTTCGAACTAATGTGGACATCGACCTGATAGAGGTCTTTCCTCTCGACGTCTCCTCCTTTCTCTTGCACGTGCTGTCGGGCCACACTGGCCCGTAGCGTCAACGCCCCCTCCTCCTCCTCCTCCTCCTCCTCCTCCTCCTCCTCCTCCTCCTCCTTCTCCGCCTCCCCCTCCTCCTCCTGGCACCTGTGCCACTGGGTGCCCTCGGGCGTCCCAGAAAAACAGGCCGGTTGCAGCCCGATCGTCACCCCTGTTTGCCCGTAGTGGGCCAGGGGGAGAGAAAATTGCCCCCCTCGTCGCCATGTTTTCCCACCCCTTGCGGTGGCCCGGCACGTACACCGCGTGCGCCTGGGCGGGGGGGGGGATCCCTTGCGGGGGGCTCATGGTGGATCCACACCCATTCTTCCCACGGTCAGGGTCCCCCGCCCTGGCGTGCGTGGGGGTGTGCGGTCGCCCGAGGGAGTGGCGCCCTTCGGGTGGCTTATCGGGGCGGCACGCCGAGTGGCGTGCCGTTATGTGAGGGCAGTGAGCCCGCCGCCTCGGAATCTTCAGAACGCGCGGCGCGCCAAGGGGCGCGCTGCGCGCGGCGCGCCAAAGTGCGCGCCGCCTGTTTCCGCTCTTGGTGCTTTGGCAAGGAAGGAGTGAACATCTGAATGATGGAGGGACTCATTTGTGGTATCACGTTTTATCGTGCTCCACGAGCTTCTTGCCGGGCTCCATGGGTGGGCCTCCTGTCCCTCGTAGCCGCGGTGCTCATCGTGTTCAGGGGGTGCTTCTTTCAAATCACTCTTGTGATGGCGGAAATCCTGGATATCCCCCTCCTCCTCCTCGTCCTCGTCCTCGTCCTCGTCGTCGTCGTCCTCCTCCTCCTCCTCCTCCTCCTCCTCTTCCTCCTCCTCCTCCTCCCCCTCGTCCTCCTCCTCCCCCTTCTCATCCTCCTCCTCCTCCTCCTCCTCCTCTTCCTCCTGCTCTTTCTCCTTCTCCTCTTTTTTCTCCTCCTCCTCCTCCTCCTCCCTCCTTCCTCCTCCTCCTCCTTCCTCCTCCTCTCCTCGTCCTCGTCCTCGTCCTCCCCCTCTTCCTCCTCCTCCCTCTCCTCCTCCTCCTCCTCCTCCTCCTCCTCCTCCTCCTCCTCCTCCTCCTCGTCCTCCTCCACGCCGCCTCCGTGCGGGGGGGGGATGCCCCGCGTGGCGCCCGCCCGCTGGGCGTCGCCGGCTCCGCCTCCAGGCAGCGCCCTCGTCGAGAAGCGGCTGGGCCCCGCGGACCTGGCGGCCGCGCGCCTCGACACGGCCGTGGGCTCCGTAGTGACTCAGGCCGCGAGAGGGAACCCAGGGGGGAGGAGGGATGGAGGGAAAGAGGGAGAGAATGAGGAACACGGCGAGGGGGACACATAGTGTCGAAGACGCCTACGGCGAATCATCGCCGCCCCCTGCCTTTTGGAATCGCCCATGCGGTCGAACGTTGTGGCCAGGGCTCTGCCAAGCTATCCGGCCATGTGTTCCCTCAGCCGCTGTGGAAACCCTTCGCGGAACACGCGGGGCAGAATGAAGACGCGGAGGAGAGGGAGGACAAATAGAGAGGAGGAGGATCAGGATCAGGATCAGGATCAGGAAGAGGAGGAGGAGGAGGAGGAGGAGGAGGAGGAGGAGGAGGAGGAGGAGGAGGAGGAGGAGGAGGAGGAGGAGGAGGCGGAGGAGGAGGAGCATGAGGAGGAGGAGGAGGATGACTCTTTGGGCCATTTGGGAGCTTCTTGTGGGCCTCTCAGCCCCCTGCCTTTTGGACTCGCCCATGTGGCCGCATGTTATGGCCAGCGCTCTGCCAGGCACGCGGGGGAGAAACAAAAGCGGATGATAGGGAGGACAAATAAAGATGATGATGATGATGATGATGAGGATGAGGATGAGCAGGATTATGATGATGATGATGATGATGATGATGATGATGATGATGATGATGATGATGATGATGATGATGAGGAGGAGGAGGAGGAGGAGGGGATGAGGAAGAGAGAAGGAGGATGAGGGAGGCGTCGAAGGAGGAAGGCGGAGGAGGAGTAGGAGGAGGCGTCAAGGAGGAGGAGGCGTCCGAGGGAGGAGGAGGAGGCATCGAGGAGGAGGAGGAGGACGAGGAGGAGGAGGGAGGGAGGAACCATCGAGGAGGAAGAGGAGGAGGAGGGGGATGAGGAGGAGGATGATGATGATGATGATGATGAGGAGGAGGAGGAGCAGGAGGAGGAGGAGGAGGAGGAGGAGGAGGAGGAGGAGGAGGAGGAACAGGAGAAGGAGGAGGAGTCTGGGGGCCTCCTGGGAGCTTCTTGTGGCCCTTTCGGAGGTCTCTTGGAAGCCTTCTTGGGCCTCTTGTGGGCCTTTTGGGGCTTCTCGGGGTCTCTTTGGCTGAGGGCGTTCCTGGCCAGTCTGGCGCCGTCGGAAACCGTCTTGGGGGCCTCTCTGGACCGACTTGGGGCCCTCTTGGGGCGCGTCGGGGCCGTCTTGGAGGCCACCATGGGCGTCTTGGAGTCATCTTGGGCAGTTTTTGGGCCTTCTTGGGGGGCTGTTGGGCCGCCCTTTGGCCATCTTGGAGGCCTTTTGGGCTATCTTGGGGCGATCTTGGAGCTTTCTTGGGCCGGGTTGGGCCGTCGGATCGCCGAAAAGATAAAAGAACCCAAATCCTTCAACAACCTAAGGAAATCATTGCTTTTTTCCTCTTAGGGCCTTCCTGGAGGAGCTGTCGGAGGTCCCTCGGGCCGTCTTGGAGGCCTTTTAGGAGCGACTTGGGCCATCGTGAGGCCATCTTGGACCGTCTTGGTGGCTTCTGGGGCAGACTTGGAGGCATCTTGGACCCTCTTGGGCCATCTTGGAGGCCACCTTGTACCATCTTGGAGGAACTTGCAGGCCATCTTGGGCCATCTTGACTGTCTTGGATGCGATTGGGCAATTCTTTCGGCGGGTTGTGCAGCCTTCCAGGTGGCCGGCGCGCTGGGCCGAAGCTCCAGGGGGAACTCTTGTGGAACAGAAACCAAACCAAACCAAAAACGGTAGGGTCTAGCACGCCAGGGAACCCCTTTGAGACATCAGCATAGGGCGGCGGAGTAATACGATCGAAGACGCCTACGGCGAATCACCGCCGCCCCCTGCCTTTTAGAATCGCCCATGTGGTCGAGCATTGTGGCAATAGCTCTGCCAAGCTATCGGACCATGTGGTCCCCCAACTGTTATGGAAACCCTTCGGGGAACACTACTTGGGGGAGGATGTCGGGGAAGATCAGGAGGAGGCGGAGGAGGAGGATGTGGAGAAGAAGGAGGAGGAGGAGGAGGAGAAGAAGGAGGAGGAGGAGGAGGAGGAGGAGAAGGAGGAGGAGGGGGCATCTTTGGAGCCTCTGGGACACTCTTGGGCCTCCTGGGAGCTTCCTGGGAGCCTCTTGGAGGCATCTTGGGGGCCTCCTTGGGTCTCTTGGGGGCCTTTGGAGGCTTCTCAGGGGCCTCTTTGGCCGTCTTGGTGGACTCCTGGCCCGTCTGACGCCGTCGGAAGCCGTCTTGGGGTCTTCTCTGGGCCGACTTGGAGCCCTCTTAGGGTGCAGGAGGCCGTCTTGGAGGCCATCTTGAGCCGTCTTGGAGGCCTCTTGGGCCGTCTTTGGGCCCTCTTGGGGCCGTCTTGGTTCCCTCTTCGGCCGTTCTGGGGCCAGTGTGAAGGCCTCTTGGGCGATCTTGGGGCAATCTTTGGGGGCTCTTGGGTCGTCTCGGGCCGTCGGAAGGCCGAAAAGGAGCAAATACGAACATCCATCCATCAAAAACCAAAGACACATCAATGATTTTGGCCTCTTCGGGCCTTCCTGGAGGCCCTCTTGGAAGCCTCCTGGGCCGTCTAGGGCCATTGTAAAGCCATTTTGGGCTGTATTGGTGGGCTACTGGCCCGTCTGACGCCGTTGCCTCTCTGGGCAGACTTGGGGTCCTCTTGGGGTGCTCCAGGGCCGTCCTGGAGGCTTGCTTGGGCGTCTTAGCGGCCTCTTGTGCCGTCTGGGGGCCCTCTTGGGGCCGTCTTGGGAGCCTCTTGGGCAGTCCTGATGCCATCTTGGAGGCCTCTTGCGCGCTCTGGGGGCGATCTTTGGGGCCTCTTGGGCCGTCGGAAGGCCGAAACGGAGCAACTACGACCATTCTTCGAACACCTAAGGAAAGTCAATGATTTTAGCCTCTTCGGGGGGCGCGGAGGGG